CAAACGAAGAACTTTTTAGCGCGGACCCGACGTCCATATAATTGTAAGTCAATGGTTTTAACAATACGATTCTGGAGCATAATATAATTATTAAGATTATCATTTCTTATCTCTTTTCGGTTTCTTAACAAGTCTATTTTTATGTGGGACGAGAGTTAGTCCACCGCGCAACCCCCAGAAATGCGGGAGGGCCACACCCGCCGTTGATCAGCGAGTCCATCGGACCTAGCCGGCTAGCATAGCTTGGCTGTACTACAGGCCGTTCCCCTATCCGAACTGACTGCACAGGACCGAAGAAAGTGGCATCATCTCGTTTCGGAGGCCGGGACACATTTTGGGGTGCTGAGCCAGCGGAGTAAGTAAGTAAGTATTAGGGGTTAAAGTATGAAATTGCCGTTTCGCACTGAAAAATTAAAACAATTTTTTTTAAGATTAAATACATTTCGAGTTCTTAGGTTTTCGCGATTGTTATACATAGGAATGAAACTATTTTTCCGGATTTAAATCACGTATATTTGTTTTTTCAAACAAACTAATAACTATTGTAACTATAGTGAAAAAATAGGGTGGTTTGCATCAATATTAGACATAACTGGTTGAAGACTGTACCACCTCAGTCAACCGTGACCATGGGACCTGTAAAGGGCCCGAAACGTCGGTTTGTTTGAAAAAACAAATATACGCGATTTAAATCCGGAAAAATAGTTTCATTAAATACATTTGTTTAATCAAAGTTTTTTCCCTTGTTGTCTATACATTTCTGCCATGTAATCGGAAGGTCATTTAAACCTTTGCGATAGAACTCTGGAGACCTGGACTCCACAGCTGTGTGAAGGGATTTTTGTACTGCTTCCTGGGAATTTTATTTCCATACAAAAAAAAATCAAATTGCGGGAAAAAATGGTAGTCGGTCGGGGCGAGGTCCGACGAATATGTAGGATGATGGATAATTTATATCTGCTGGTCTTGTAGTAGTAAAACTGTTTCTCAAGCAGTGTGAGGTGTTGCGTTATCATAGAGCAATAACGGTGAAGCTGTTTTGCTGCGAGTTCCGTCGTCATTATTTAAACGCCATATGTCATATTGTGGGTATGCTAACATTAAACCATGACGTTTCGTGGTAGTTTGATACGGATCGGCTTCCATCATTACCTTCAATTCAACGTTATTTACATTTGTGACTGGTCTTCCTCGTGGTTCTTTCTTCAAGTCGTAATTTGCCGTATTGCCGGCGTTTGCCGTATTTGCGTATGCCGTATCCTCTCCAAATACAGCATTGACAGTTTCTGCTACGTTAACTCCATGTGGAAATTCATATTCGAAAATTAGGTACTCAGATTTTCGCTGTATCTGTCTTCACGTTAAAAGCTGAATGTAAAAACAATTGAAAGTCGAACAATCAAATATCATGTTTTTTAAGTTAAGCATGTTTTACTTTTCGTGTGAAAAACGTTTCACTCTGAAATCGGACACCATACAGGTTTAATTTTAATTTAAAGTGGCCAGTAAAATAAATCGGCAATTTCATATTTAAACCCCTATAATCATGTCCGAAGTTTAAAACTTACATTAAAAGTATTTTGATTGAAAAGTCATATTACATAATCATCATCAATCATCTCAGTACAGAGTACTAAAAAACCGACCTCAAAAGTATGTGAAATTACATCTATTTATTGAAATATCCTTAAATTCGCCACTATACGGGACTTGACACTGGAGATAATAAAAATCGGTTCTCACTACTCAAAGTATATTGAGAGAAAAACGCCTTGAATTGGAGAAATAGCAAATTCAACCATTAAAATAATTACTCCTTAAGTAAAATTTAGGCGCTATTTATAAAAATGAATCGTCATGCGTTCAGCCACCCTTAGACGTGGATGATTTTCTTCAAAATGAAATGGGACCACTATGGAATTCCCCCCCTTTCGCCCCGGTTCACAAATACCCGAGTTATCGCGTAACATACATACAAAAAAAACACTCTCTATAGTTTTAATAACTGACAAAAAATCCTTCGACCCGACAGGGCTCGAACCTGCGACCACGGAATACCGTCTCGTCGTTCTTCCAACAGAGCTACTGATCGAGTTACGAGGTCAAAGAATTTTTTTCTACGTGACTGTTAGAAATTTTTTATATTAAGTTTTTTCGGTTTCCGTATAACTGTGAAAATGTTGAATAAATCACTTTGGAAAAAAATATAGGTAAAATTAAGGATACGTACTGATTCGTATATAGTGTGAAAACACGATTCCTAAAAGTTTTCATGATAGAAAAAAACACAAACTTACCTCGAAATTTTACAAATAAACCTGTACTTTACATAAAATCAATGATTTTTTAAATCAATTGAAGTAAATAGAACACGTTTACTTTACGCTTTAATTTCATATACTTTTGGCTTAATTTCGTTTAAAAATAAATTCTCAAATAAAGCCAGTGTCCCTGACACTCGACCCAAGCAAAATGAACCGTATTAGTACGGGAAAAAATTGAATTCGAACTGAGGTAGAATCATTTCTTAAGTCTAAATAATTAATACAACATTTAGTCACGTACAAGCACCAAGAAATTACTGCTAATTAATAAAATAACGTAATTTCATTTCGCACATTACAAAACAAGTGCTTTACTGCTAAATAATGTTTCGTGTTAATACATTTAGCTAGACGATGAATAACAATAATTTATTTTGATACTGAAGTGAAAATGTTTATGAAAGTAACATTATATTTATAAGATAAAGGATCTAACAGGACTCGAACTGGCACCTGTGTCATACCAGGGCATTTCTATCACTTATTTGTGACTTACGATCGATACCTCCAATAAACACTACTACTTCGAATTTAGTGAAAAAAAAAAAGAAACAAAAAACGAAACTCAAGAAAAATAAAAAAACAACGAATTTAAAAAAATAATAAAGTAAAAAAAATAAAAACTCCAAAAGGAAGTTGTCATAGTGTTCGTTGGAGGTATCGAAATACATTTTTAGGGTAGGTTTGCCACATAACCTACCGATCACAGCCTTGTTATATTTAATTTCATGCTGTGTTTGCATGTCACGCGCCACTGAACGCGTCAAAACGAATAAAGTTTAAAGCACTAATTGTTAAATTGGGAGTCGACCGCTACGTCATTCAAAATATCAGTGTCCCAGCAGTTATCACTATATTGCCCCGAAGTACATTCTACTGGTACTAACAGTAGAGCAGTGGAGCTACAATAGTAGCAGCAGTAGAGCTCTTCGTGAAAGAATTCGTCAAGGGAAGTGCCATCTTGCCTATTTCTACCGCCAAGAAATTACAGGCACATGGAACTTTTCAACGTAAGTCTCAGGGTGACGGGCGCAGTGGCGACGCTTCTCAGACCTTTGAGATTTAAAGCACTGAGTATCACTGCAACTGTTATGGACAGGTGTGTCGCTTACCATTAGGCGCACGACTTGTTCGTCCCGGCACTTAATATTATAAAACAAATACAGGGCATTTCCTATTTTCAGACCAGGTAATTGATGTGATTGTCTTGCGCAATTATTACTATTATTAAATAAAATAAACATCGCATTTTCTTGCTGAACTCTCTCTAGAATCATGTTATTGCTTTTACGTCATGTATATTTGTATATGAATACGTATTTTTTTATAATACCAAGTAATAAGTCCCATGTGTCTGTAATTTCAGCAGCACCTTTACCCTTCAATGTAAGCATTACTAAACTGAGCGGTAATGTAAGCGTTAAGTAATTAGAGTAGCCTACACATCCCCTATTTTCTTTTGAGGGGTAGTTAGTCAAAAACGCTGAAACATTGTTGATTTCTTACTAAAGGCATAAATATAAATCTTCAGATCACTTACTTGACAAATGTATGGTTCCCCATACAAACTTTCATCTCCTATTTCACGTTTGTATAATGACGTTATATATTATACGTTTGCATATTGACGTTATCTATTATACCAGTACTACTCCGTTGGCTCAGCGACCTACAATGTATCCCTGCTTCCGAAACGAGGTGATGACACTTTCTTCAGTTATGTGCTATTTCTCGCCAATTCATGGTTTGTAATTCGCGCAGGTCCACACAGCATCGCTCCAGCGATTCCAGGAACGACTAACGTCTTCTCTCTTCACGTTCCGATCCTCGCCTGTCCTTTCTAAGTGGCCGGGCCAGCGAAGTCAGCGTTAATGCGGACTCTCAATCTACCGTTCTCCCGTTGAACTGGTCCTAACATTTTCCTGAGAACTTTTCTCTTAGCCACCAGAAGTTTGTTTTCTTCTTTAAGTATGAGTGTCCACACCTCACAATCATACGTAAGAATGTGCGTTATCTATTCTACGTTATAATAATCTACGTAGGTATTTATTATACTTACGTAAATAGTGGTATTTTTTCTTTGTCTGGCAATTAATATAATTTCCCTCCTTAACTCTTGCAAGTTATTGCTCGTTTATAACCTTTGCTCTCACTGCCTTGAGCTGGCTGAAAGAGATTTCTTTTATAGATAAGTTCACCTTTGTTCACCTTCTGTAGGTACAATTAATGTATGCATATAAATACTTTACTGTTCAACAATTAAAAATTGTCAATTTTAACAAATGAATTTAAAACGTTAGTGCACAAAGGCGAGCTTATCACATGAAGATATTTCTTTTGCTTTGAATAATTAATATTTATTTTGTGTTTGTTTTGATGCAATGAAGAATGATGCAAAAAATCATATTATTGCATTTTTAAAATGAAGACAGTTGTGATTATTATAATACATTTACTGTATTAAAATAAAAATATGGTAATTGGCATAATATTATAATAAAATTAGCTTAAACGCCTGAAAAACTTAATTTCCTACATCAAAATATTTTTATAATGAAACAAACTTGAAGTAAGTTCATTAACAACTTAGTCCAGTAAAATAATTAACCATTCGCTCTTAGATACTAGAAGAAAATTAACTTTAATTTCAATTAATACGGGTTAAAATTAATTTACCTTTATTCACAAGCGAAAATCCCAACGAGTGAGGGGGATGAAGCCGTTGTTTGGTCTTTATTTTACACTCATTCACTGTTTAACATAATAAAAAAAAAAACAAAATATATTACTACACAGAACCAAACTTTAAGGGCGATGAAACAACTTTTAAAACAATCTTTGCACGTATTTACACCACTCACCAAACTGTATTAATTATTAAATTGAAAAATAATTTGTTGTTTATTTATTATTAAAAAAATAATAATAAAATTATTACACTTTTAAAAGTATTTCAAAAGTTGAACTTTTGTTTTATAACAACCACTAAATTGTCATTTCAATTTTCGAACACACATTTTGAATTTGAATCGCAATTTACTTTTCGAATCGTTTATTAAAATTATTCGCGTTTTTCAAAGCAACGGGATCGCGTGATACAGCCAATGCGTTCCGTAGAGCATTCGTGTTACCGAGCGTAGCGCCAAAGAGACACTGGCCGTGATGCGAGTATGACTCGAACTTCTAACATAGGCCTATAGAAACAAGCTTTCGTTAACCAATATGCAAGTAATTTAACTTTACGTTCCCATTTTATTATGCAGGGTCCTAAACGAAGGCGTTTATTGTAAAGATTTTTAAAATGTTGTTATAAGCATTTATTACAGTAGACTGAACATATTTACCCGAGCATCAAGAAAGAAATGCACACAGAATGGACAATACCTCGCTCTAAAATTTCGAAATGATGTTGTATATTTTTATTGTATACCTTTCTAGCAATTGTTTTGCCGCTGTAGTGTATTCAGAAGAAAAATTTGCAAGAAAAAAAATATTTTATTTCGACTTCATGCATTTTATTTTTAACCTTTTAGGGTTTTCAGAGAGAGGAATTTTCTACTCTATGTATAATATTTAAGAATTAGGTAAATAAGCTACATCTGTTACATTCATTCATATTTATTTTCTATTAATTACTATTTTATAGATACATATAAAATTAAAAACATTAACATCATCATCAACCTACTTGTACGTCTCACTGCTGGGCAGGGGTTCTATGGACAGGTTTCATCTCGATGTTTTCCTTCACCGAAAATTCAAATAAAATTTTGGATAGCAATTCGAACCCACGACCAGTGCTTGAGAGGCGGCAGGTCAAACATAGCAGCAGTGGAGTTCCTTGTGAAAGAGTTCGTCCAGGGAAGTACTGCCTCCGTATTTTATTATAACTTATTTCTACCGACAAGCAGTCATGGACGCATTACTGCGTTTAGGGTCATGGCGTAAGATGCTGATGACATTACAGCCACATGGGACTTGTCAACTTATGTCTCAAGGTGACAGGCGCAGTGGCAATGCCCCTCAGATCTTTGCGATTTAATGCTCTGAGTGGCACTGTAACTGTTATGGACAGGCGTGTAGTTTACCGTCTGGTGGCAAACTAACGAAACTATTAAATTTAAAAAAAATAACCTAAGGCATATAATAACCCCTTATAGTTTTCACAAATAAACATGACTATAAAAAAATAAACATGAAGATTTAAGGAGTACTTAATTAAATAAATATAAGGATAATTTTGGACGACACCGTGACGTCAGTGTTCAAACGCACAGAGCTTGCACGGACCTAATAACTGACCTAATTACGTTGATAGCCATGTTGCCAAACCCAATAAATGAAAAGATATATCGACTTACGCAATGGGGCTTATTTTCTTGAAAATAATTAAGTATTTTTCCTGGTAACTAACTATTACAAGGAAAAAAAACAATGTTAATTAAGAAAGAAATATCTTATTTAATTAATTTTAAACACTTAAACGTAGTTTCTGACTAAAAATTTAATACGAACCCGGAAACGAAAAATCAAGCAAAGAAATTTACTTTTCACAATTGCAATATGCTTGTAAATATTGTGCGTGTAGGAATATATTATGTAATTGTAATGTGTTGTTTAATAATTTCTGTCTATTTAATTTTTCATATCTACCACCACCGTTTTTATTCATATTTAATCTCTCTCCGTCCTGGGGTTGTCTGGAAGAAATCGCTGTAAGCTATAAGACCGCCAATTATTACTTTGCTTATGTGTTTCATTTTTGTCCTGAAGTCTTGCTATGTATGTAGCATAGCAATAAAGAATTTTGTATCTGTCTATCTACGAAAAAATAACAATTTACATTTAAAAAATCTTGCCCATGGATGTCCTCTACATACAGGACCTTAATCGAACACACTTCCACAGTGTGAGTTGGAGTTTTCACACATTTTCCAAGGGCTGTGAATCTATTCGACGTGAAGGAAAAAAAATAAGTTTCACAGCATTGTATGCCTTGGTGTGCATAATATATTCTAATCACCGTATTCTGGGATTCAACATACACACACAGCTCACTGACACTTATACACACAAAAACACACGTGCGCGCGCACACATACACACACACACTGCCTCCGTGGCCGAACGGTTACCATGCCGGACTGCCACGCAGAGGTCCCAGGTTCGATTCCCGGGCCGGGAGAAATATTTGTATGGCCTACATTTATTTCTCTCGTGAGTTTGGGTGTAATTTGTGGTTGTCTATGTGTGCGTCCATGGCACCCGCGACACAGGGTTTCCCTAGTGCGGGGCTATGTTGAGTGTGTGCGTTATTTATATTATATTATATTATACACACAAAAACACACGTGCGCGCGCGCACACGCACACACACACACTTACACATCTTTCTATATATTTGTAATATAGTTAAGAGACTCTGTTCTGTAATATTACTGTTATTTAATTATGTTTTATAACATACTACTTATAGAGGCGCGAGACCTTCTGAGACAAGTATTGTCATACTTAAAAGAAGGTCTCAACCTTACCTCGTATGCAATTTTGTTAATATTTTACACGAAAAAAAAAGTATTTTTCTTTTTAAGGTTTCATCACAATTGTTGGTTTCCGGCTGTGTCCGTCTCGAAACGGACCAAACTTTACTTCAATGAAACTCGTAATCTTCCGTTTGTTGAAGCTTCTCAGTCTTAAGTGCACTTGTATTCTTGAATGAACACCTTATCCTAACAATTGTAATCTACGCCTATCTGACTTAATTCCGTAATATAACAAGTCACAAATATAAATGCAATCGATAATCGATAACAAATTCTTACAAGATTCACATATATATGTACCGATACGGTGTCTCCCACACAGTACCGGCCCTATCAATGCGCCGCGGATGCCACCCGGCCAATCAGAGCCCTTGAATTATTTATGTAATTCTACTCTCGTTTGCTCTGACCGACCAGGTGCATCTCGGCAGTCCGTAACAACGATGTTTTCCTCCACTCACACATATTCATAAAATGTGTAATTTGGATAAAAGTCATGGTCACGCCGTCACAGGGATCCGAACTGTCGGCCTCTCAATAGATAATCAAGCGCTAAACAACTAAATAATTTAGTATTCTACAGGATATATCACGGAAAGTGTGCAATGGAATTGCATGATTTAATTTCACCGTCCCCTTTCTATCATCCGAGGGATTTTTATTTTTTTATAATAATACCAAGTGACGGGACGAACAAGTCGTGCACCTAGAAGGTTACGCCTGTCCATAACAGTTGCTGTGCAATTCAGAGCTTTAAATTGCAAGATCTTAGAGGCACTGCCACTGCGCCCGTCACCCTGAGACATAAGTTGACAAGTACCATGTGCCTGTAATTTCACCAGCACCCTTACCCTTCCAAACTAGAGCGCAGCACATTACTGCTTGGCGGCAGAAATAGGTAGGGTTGCAGTACTTCCCTGAACGAACTAGGTTGTAGGTTAGGGGTTAAACCCTTATGCTGTCGATATTCCAAGGATGTGCACATGGCGGCGTTACGCTTTCACATTTATATGGCGAACGGCTATGGAGTGGAATTCCTTGCATGACTGATACCCTAAACGCTATAACTTAACCCTTTTCAAGGCGAGAGTGACTAGGCTTTGTATAGGTGTGTATGGTCCATCGTCGACCACATCGTCACTTTTTATATCAGGTGAGATGGAGGTCAAATACCTGCTCACGCGATGCGCTCCTCCTACCGCAAAATGGCGGCTATTTGGTTTCGCAAATTAGAAAAGCATTAAGTTTAAATACAAGTTTTTATAAATAAAAATTATTATTCTGCATTGCTAAATAAATACCCTTCGTACTACCAACAAAAACATCTCAAATAAAATGCAGTAATACACCGCAAATCCTGCACTTAAAAAGCACTAATGAAATTTTTGGTGTACTTGGATAAATATGATAATATTCCGTTTGAGTGGTTCTAACGTTTACCATGAAATTACTCCTTAAAGTATAGTTTATAAACATTTATATTCAGGGTAAACTTAAAAAACGCTACTTACGGTATGTTTTCAATAAATAAACACCGAAATCACCAGCGCAAACTATAACACACACGATTGTAGTGACGTATTTTTAAAGTTGTTTATTTTTTTAAACGACAGACCCAGGCATTAAAAACTTTATGGTTTGCTTGAGTAGTTACCGAAATAGCAATTAATATTAGTTCTTTTACCTGTTATAACTTCAATATCCGATAAATCGGAATAAAATCATCACCGGCACCTCTAGGTGTAGTATGCGGATACGCACTTATTTTTTGGGAAATAATAAAGGTTCTGAAAAACAAATTAAATTGCACCGAACAATGGCGAACAGTAATACTAGCTAAGCTGTGTTAGAATAAGTTACTGAAAATAAATACCGAATGAATTAAAACAATCAAGAACTGGTTCACATCACAATTCTACGAAAAAGAACTGTACTTCCGAAAAATATACTAAATATCCGAAAGAAAAACTAAGTTCGCTAGGACCGATGCTATGTCCTATTTTGTCATTCCTATTGGCATTTCCAATAATGGAATAGTTTAACCAATACCAAAATTTATGAAAAGTGTAAAAAGGGCTTAAAATTTTTGTTCACAGTAATAGCGTCTAACAATATATTTTCAGTTAAAATTTATCGGAATTTTCAGTATTTAATTCCGTCTTTTCCATGTTT